CGTCATTGGTGAAGTTTAGAAGTTGCAAAAACCTTCTAAACATCGGTGAAAGTAACTTATTTTCAATTTTATCGTTTCCTTATGTAGGAAACATTACTAACAAGTGATAATATTTTCTTTGCAGGTTCTTTGACACCAAAATAGAGGTTTGTTGGACAATTTTTTGTCAAACGACATCTTCGGGCTATGATGTCACTCGGTATATGTTCTCAGTCGGTATCGACCATATAACTGAATGGTAAATCGACACTATAATTGAAATGACCCAACCCAAAAGTTAATTGGGTCATTTGAAGCAACCTAATATAATTAGTGCTGCTTATGGCCCATTTTCACTTACTTGGACTGCTAATAGATGGGAATTCACTTAGTAGCTCACTCGATTACTTATTGGGCCTTTGACCTATTACTATGCCCTAATGCACTTACCTTAACTGCCCCATTTACTTGGTTATATGCGTGCTTCCTCTGCCTCCTCTTGGCTGCGTGATATTGGCTACCTCTTTCATGATCTCTGCCCATTGCTGTTTCATTCACTTTATTGCTTTTGTGGTTATTCTCTTGTGGTAATTTAAGTGTGTGAACATTAGCAATTGTAAGTGGAAGAGTTGGAGGAGTTTTGGATTGTTTTGGTTTTGAGGTGTCAATTGATTGGAGAAACTCCGGTTTAAGCCTTAGTGGTCTTTATCTTCCGCACAACAAGTACAAGTACATTAAAAATTATAGTCATCCTCAACAAAATTGAAGCTCTAGGAGTCATCAGAAGAATATAGGAACCACATTACTAATGTTTCTTTCTGCTCATTTGTTTGGTAAACCAGTGGCTAAGGAACTTCATTTGGTATGTCAGGATGTATTATGCAATGATTGTGACAAGAAGGGAAATGCATCGTTTCATTGGCTATATGACAAGTGTGGCTTTTGTTGGTCTTGTAATACCGGAGAAATTAAGGTTGCGGAGGTCCCAATTGTTCGACATAGTTAATAATTGACGAGAATTACATTCCTCTGGTGACTGGAGTTCATTAATAGTTCGGTAATTAGATTGCATGGCCAAGACTGTTGAAGAAGAAAAAATAAGTTTAAATCTGATCCATTCTACTCCCGTCATCTCATAAATATTCAATATTTTCCCAAAAATGTGGCATCATTATATTGGGAATAGCTAAATAGAGAGGAGAGACCAGTCTCCATTCAGTTGTCCTAACTATTCGCTAATTTATTATTTAGTCAGATTTAGTGTAACTGGAAAACCAAATAGTAGTCCTAGATTTTTCCTTGATGATCAGCAACGAAAGGTTCTGATATACTCAAATATAATATTATATTTCTTCATTTTAATACACTCAAATGTAACATAATCTTTCTTCATTTGAGACACGAATGTGGTTTGACACATAGTTCGTCTTCAATGCTATGATACATCAAATGCCATAATTTTTCGATTACAAAAAATGCTAGGAGAGACCTTGTCTGTCAACTATACAAGTATGAAAATGAGAAGATATGAGGGAATATGAAACGGATGCCTATCTCGTCCCAAGGAGTGTGAGGAAAGTAAGAAAGGGCAAGAACGGAGACAATAAGTAAAATAAAAATAAAAAAATGAAAAACAGAAGCCCGCCATTGGCTAATGCACATTTCATGATTTTGCGATGTCTGTTTACTTTTGATATAATAGTGGGTAAAATCGTGCTTTAAGTCATTGTGTTTAGTTTAATAATTTTTGGAAAATTTTGAATGTATTTAATTTAGTTTATTATGTGTTTAATTTGTGTTAGTATTACAAACACGCGATTTGAAATATTATCTACCTATTTCCTCAGCGTGTACATCTACTTCACTTCGATTACTGATAATTAGTAGTGCAAGTTCATAATTATCACATGTTGTTTTCATATTTTCTAGGTTTATAATTGCAAGGTTTCATTTGTTAAACAATTATATTGCAGTTATATGTCAGTTACATATCTACATGCAACATTTCAATTGACTGCTGGTTCTAAAATATTTAGGGGAAGAAGAAGCATTATTTCATTACAATTTTTGCAGTGACAAACTATCAATCCTCTTTATACAAGTGGCGAAAAATTTACTACATTTTGTACAATGTAAATTCCATGAAATATGTTACATGTTCGTACATCTAACGTGAGAAAGAATTATAACATTTGAAAGATGACTCATGATGTCTTCAAACGATATGTAAAGAAAACTCGAAAAATCACATGAGTTCCTAATTTTTAAAAGAAAATGGATGCACTCAACAAAATTCCACAGCATCACATCCCATAATTTAAAAGGTTAAGTGGAAACTTCAATTTAGAATCAATGGTGGTCAAGTACAATGTAATACCAAGAGCATTTTCAATTCTTATAGTTAATGGCAAAGTAAAACTAATTTTCTACAACCTTAATTTGGAGAACAAATATGCTATATAAACTGAGACCATAAAATTATCTCAATTTAAAGTATCACAAGAAATACACAAAGAAACAAATGAAAAACAGTGAGAGTGAGATAATCAACAAGGGGTTCAGAAAGCTCCGTTTCTTTTGAGCTAACAAAATCCAAGCCACTGCCATGGCCAACATACATATCTCTGGCGATTGAGGCCCGTTTAAGGTTTCTTGTCTCTCAGCCTATCCGTTGCCACCAATCAGTGCTGTTTCTTCTTTGAATTTCAGCTTTTTCTCCCATTCAATTACAATTTTCTCCCTGGCCCACGGCTTCCAACTGCGGAACCAAGGGCACAGGATTTCATTCTTAAAAGTAACTTTTACTTTTAAGAATTCTATTCTTGCTGTCTTGCTGAAAGACATATGTTATGATTAGTATGAAACCTGTATTTCATAATTTTTGTGTCATCTCATTGAAATTGAATGGTATGGTCTTCTAGTGATTAGGTCCAAGTTCGAGTTCATGATATAGTTTTTATCATTGACTACTCAACATGGGCCCATGAGCTTATTTACTTGACCTATTAGTGTACGGCGATCCTAGAAGCCATGGCAAGTGATCACTAACCTGGAATGCGAGGTCAAATGGTCTTTGTATAAAAGGAAATGAACTTGAGAATCTCTGATGATTAAAATGTAATGTTAAATTCCTAGTGGCAGGATAATGTATTGTGTATTACATGTGGCAAACAATGCAAAGAACTCGAATTCTGAATAAATTTAAGTTCTACCAATCTATTTGTGCACAAGTGAACATGTCTCCAATTCTATTACTTCGTATGCCCTACTTACTTATACATATTAATATGAGTGCACCTTCAACGTAAATATTGAATATATTCAGTGTAAATATTTTCTTCATAATTTACTGTCCATAGGTTAACATATTCTAATTTTATGACAAAGTATGTGGACGATCCAGACTTCATGGATTTTGATAACGATTTGGAGTCTGATCAAGATGACATGGAATATGATAAAAATCTATCGACAGGATTGAAATGGGGTTGGTTATCTGTGGAGATCAAGTTTCAGTTGAAGGGGATGATGTGAATGATATCGAGGTAGTTGATTTGGAAATACCGTCGTCAAAGGAACTACTGTCCCAATGTTCATCCAATAAGGATGGTAGACATAAATTTCCTAAATTTTCATTCGATCGGATAAGAAGGATCCACAATTTGAGGTAGGCAAATTTTCAGTTCCGCTTTGGAGTTCCGAGAGGTAATCAAGACCTGCGGTGTGTTAAATGGGTATAATGTAAAGTTCAGGGTAAACGAGCGAAGCAAGGTACATGCCGCACATTGGGATGTAAATGAAGGATTTGGGCTTCAAAGATGGATGCTTCAGAGAGGTTACAAGTGAAATCTTATACCTCAGAGCATACTTGTAGTTGGGTCCAATTTAACAAACACTGCAATTACATATTTTTTATGAATCAATACATTAAACAATTCAAAGCAGACCCTAATTGTAAGACCTTGCTTCTTTTGGCAACGGTGAAGAAAGATCTGGGCACAGATATTAGTAGAAATGTGGCATGGAAGATGCGGAGATATGCTAAAGAAGTTGTGGTTGGGACTTTGCAAAAAGTAGTTTATACAATTGCACTCTTATACAATCGAGGTACTGGGTACAAATGCAGCTCGACGGTCATTATAGTATTACAGGATCAGGTTTTCCAGGGCATGTGCATATGCTTTAACTGTTGTAAGATTGGTTTCAGGAATGGTTGAAGGAAGGTGGTTGGAGTTGATAGTTGTCACTTAAGGATCATGTTAACTACAGTTGGACTTAACGCTAATGATTGCATCTATCCTATTGCGTATGCAGTTGTCCAGAAAGAAAACATACCAGCATGGCGATGGTTTTTGACCTATCTTTCGGAAGATATTAGAATTGGACATGAGACAAGTTGGACCTTGATAACGGACCGACAGAAGGGTCTACAAAATGTGATAGCTGAATTGTTTCTTGAGGCTAAGCATAGATTCTACGTACTGCATATGTACACAAACTTTTTCAATGTGAGTTCAAGTAAAAAATTCTTAAAAATTGCTTAAAATATCCCGCTAAGTTGACCACTGTTGCTGACCATAGATAATGGATACGCAAATTTATCAACTTAGCGAGGTGGGATAAATTGGCCTATGAAGAGGCACCCACAAGAATGGAGTAGATAACATTTCTCGGTTTACTTAAAGGGCGGCATATTACTGAATAATTGATGTGAAGTGTTCAATAAGACTTTGCGGAGTGAAAGGGAGAAGATGATTCTATTAATGCTTACTTCACTTCAATCAACCTTCATGACAAGGATTCAAAAGCATCAAGACATGATGATGAGGTTATAGGACGTTTTGTTCGAAGATTAAGAAAAAATTGGACCAAATTGATGAGAAATCGCGTAAATGCTCATTGCATTTATCTGGGGGCTGAAATGACAAGTTGATTATGGCTTTTGGACGTATGTTATTGACCTACAAGATAGAATTGTGCATATAGAGAGTGAGAGCTTACGGGCATACCTTGCATGCATGTTGTGGCAATTTTTAGAGAATGTAGAAATGATCCTGAAGAATTCGTTGATAATTGCTACACAATAGAGACATATCTGAGGTGTTATAATAGTATCACGGACCCAATTAATGGTTTGTGATTATGGCCATGTTTGGATATGCTTGCTATCACTCCACTATCGTGGACAATCTCACAAAAGGGAACAAGATAAGTAAATAAGAGAAAATGAACAAATGAAGAGGTAGTAGTACATTCAAAAGAGAAAACCTACATTCAGGGGAAGGAACAATTGCATATGACATGCTCAACTAGCGGCTTTCCCAGTTACAACGAGCAATATCACTTACAAAAAGATGCATCATTCGATGTTGGTATTAGCTTTTTTTTCCCTTCTTTTTATCCATAAACTGGGACATATTCTGTTTTCTAGTGTTCTTTCATATGATAAAATGCTGCTTATCTTCCCAACAGGATTGATGTGACAGGGAGTTAGAACTGATTGGAACCAAATGCAACACAATCATGGACGTACGAGTATGTACATGTCAAATTCAACTTTTTATACATCTACATGTTGGTTGGAAAGTGTGACTAATAATTGAATGTGGTTTACACATAATGGAAAAATAGTTGCACAAAAACATATATCCACTTCATCAGGCCGAACTGCTGTGAAGGATAACGCTTTCCAGTTCAGCCTAACTGACACGACCCGTCCTGATCACCCTAATGGATCTGACACGTGTCGTGCGCCGATGGTAGATACCAACGAAGTGCCAAACCCACCACCAAGGCAAACTTGACATGCTTTGACTGTTATAATTTTATAAAAATTTCGACAGAGTTCCCTCTGAAAAATGAACTAAAACCACCTGAAAATAAAATCAAATATCCCAAACATATACATATAGTTTAAAATAGGGTACACCGGCCCCTCAAAATATCAACTATTCAAATACAACACTGAAAATTCGACTTTTGCAACAATTTCTAAACCATAGTACCCAAAATGCAAAATATATATACAAAACATAGCAAGTCCAACACATGGAACTAATTTATGACCAAAAGAGGTGTCTATCCCAAAATATGAACTATTAAACTGAAAAGATAATTCATACAATGCTTGACAATCTAGGGCTCAACTTGATAGATCAACTGGCCCAGTAGTTTTCAACTCAGCTACTATCAGATAAGAGAAATAGTGATAAAAATGTGAGCCTATAACTCAGTGAGTGGATATTTATAAAAATATAATTTTTCATTCATAAAATCTTTCTGAAAATCGACATATAACATAAAATTTCTTTTCACAGACATATAAACTAAAATATTTATTCTTTAAACTGAATAAGCTGAATTCTATAGCTTAAAATCTGATAATACTATCAAAACTAAAATATACTGTAATCATAAACATCTTTATTCTATATATTGCATTTCTAAAATCTGATAAGCTATGTAATACTGAAACATCACACCAAAAATGTACCTGGAATAACCATACTCGTGAATCGATTAATCTCGATATACATAGTAAGGTTATTCAATTCTGAAATTCTGTAATTCTGAAATTTTGTAATTCTGGTCGTACGCGCGCAGAACTAATAAATGGTCATACACTATGGAAACACATTCACAATAGTGCAGAGCGGCTAAAATCACTATACTGATCATACGTTGTGGAAACACATTCACACTAGCGCAAAGTGGGTAAAATAACCATATGAAGTCATACACTGTGAAAACACATTCACACCGGTGCAGACGAGAGTAAAATCACTTGGGCACTTTCTGGTGGTTTTAAAATAACTTTGAATATACTGAAATATTTAATGCTAAAATAACATGCTAATAAAATGATTTACTAAATTGAATTTAACTTTTAAAAACAACTGGTTATAAATCAACTTTATTCTGAAAATCGTATTGTCAAATCGACTGTATGAATTAATAAATTTTCTGAGTTAATATAAATTAAATAATATTAATTTCTGAAAAATAAGTTTATCCACTCACATAATACAAGATAAACCTAAGATGGTCGATAGGCTCTTCCAATCTCCTCGTTACCGCCTGGAATATATAACAAGATGACTAATCAACCACTATTAAATTAAGAAACTTTAAGATCTACTTCTATAATACTTAACTAAAATTTGGTCGATGCTCGAATGAATTTCTCAAATATTCTTTTGATCAATTGGAGCTAATCCCACTTTCTAATTCCTTTTCTAATAACTAATTCATCAACAAAACCTTCTTTCCAAGTTTAAAACTAATTTTACTCTCCAATCAAGTGAAACTAGTAACCACAATTCCACCCATTTAATATTCATTTTGTTCCATAAAATCAACTTCCAAGTGAAATATTCCATTTATATAATTATTTCCACAATTAATTAATCAAAATTCCAAAATCGGATTCTAGGGTTTCCCAAAAAAAAATTGACATCTCCTTACCTTAATGTAGATAGAAATTCAAGAAACAATAACTTGAGCTCCAAATAGTATTCATCTCAAAAAAATCTGAAAATTTCGAGCCAAAATAGAACCCTAGAATTTTAACATAATTAATACTTTATCACTTGAAACAAATGGAAAAATTCAACCCAAGCTTGAATAGATTAGCCTTACCTCTTTTCTTCTTCTTCACTTTTCTTCTTTCCTTTCTTCTTTCTTTTTTTTTCTTCCCTTTTTCCCCAATTTTTCTCCCTTTTTTCGGTCCCAGCTTCTGCCCGTTTTTCTCACTGTGTGTGCGTGTTTTTGAGATAAAAATGTTGGTCAAAGTTGAATATAAAGTCCCACATGTTCAATTGCAAAGAAAGTCCCTTAAATCTAATTACAACATACAAGTAAATCCTCAACTTTCAAAAATATATAAATAAATCCCAAATTTTTTATTTATTTATTATTTTTTTTTTTTTTTGTCCAACTTAACCTTCAAAATATTTAATATTTATAAGATAGACCCAAATAAAATAATTTGGTCAATCAAGTCCCAATAAAAATGATTTATTTCATACAAGTCCTCATTTGACTGGACTTTGAAAATTCCACTATTGACTTTCACTAGATAAAAATGTGGGTTGTAACACCAACGCCCATGGTGGAGCATGAATCGCGGCTAGGATATGTTTGAGCTAGACCAGCAGCAACTGTTTGTAATCAAACTAGCAACCATCAAGTTCACATGATAAATGTGAATGTCGATGACACCATTGACAACCGGCTAACAAAGGCAAAACTGAAATCAGGCAAATTGGGGTCTACTAGGACACGAGCACGTCGTACAGTGAAATTTGCGAAATTTGCGAAATTGAAAGACACCTAGAGACAATCAATAAAGTGATATTTGTCTTTTTGTTTTTTGGTGTATGTGGCTAGATATTATCTTTTGGTTTTTGATGTACATATTTTTAGGTAATGTAGCTGAAAATTATCTTGTACACTTCATGAAATATGCACAGCGGTTTGGTGTTGGTGTACATGTTTTTGGGTACTTTTATTGGAAACTATCTTGTACACAAATACGCAGAGTAGTTTGGTGTACATGTTTATGGATACTTTAGCTGGAAATTATTTTTTTACACATGATCATTATTCTCCGCTGCAGAACTTGAAGATTCATCTTGCTACTCAAGTGTCCAAGAAATATTTAACAGTAATCCATGTTGGAGAAAATCTAACAGGAAGGATGCTATAAAAGAAATCAAACATATTAAGGCTCACTAACAAATTCAAATCCAACAGAAAGGATGCTATACAGGAAATCAAACAAAATTGAACATTTTTGTGATGCATTACTCAGATATGAAGCACTCAGCTATTACATGAAGATAATTATAGACATTAATGGAAACCACATTCATATCAAATAGCATAGACGTTTAATAGGGGATTGGCACTAGAAACTTCAAATTACATACACAACATTGAAGTTACTGGGATTCACTTAATTCCTAGTTTTGAAGCCTACACACAAATGGAAACCTAAGCCGTTCAATTTCACGGAGCTCCCCCATTCGGTTTCCCACTATTTGATTCTCCTTTTCCCTTGCAAAAAGTAAATTTCACAAAAATATCCACTTCTTTTCTTCGGTTATTTTAGCAACATTCTTCAACAAACTTAATAACTCCAATTCATCCAATGAGCACTTGACTCGCCCTGAAATTGTCAAAGTTCTTCTTCGTCGAGCCACTTGAAATGACTGCAGTCGTTCGTACAACAGAAGAATAGTTGACCTAAGCTTTTAGTCTTCTTTTCAACCTCCATGCATTTCTCAATTCCCTTGCCACATACCAGGCATGGTTTCTTCGTGCGACAATCCGAAAAGTAGTGGCCCAACTTTCTGCAACCATGATAAATCTCCTTGTTCTTTCCTGCCATTAAAATATGCTATTGCAGCCACAAAAATTTCAGCATAGTTATCATATTTAATCCACTTATTCTTCTAGAAGTAATAAAAAATCAAGAGCATCCATAGAACCAGGCCCGGTCCTGGGCCGAGGCGAATGAGACCTCCGCCTCAGGCCCAAGATCTTAGGGGGCCTCATTTTCGCCTCTTTTTTTTTTTTTTTTCTATCCATCCGGCCCAAATGAAATGCCCAATCCAATAACTAAACCCATCCCAACCCAACAATACATAAATCCCAACCCATCAATCCATTTATCCAAATCAAATCCAATCCAATCCCTAAATTCCCAAAATAATTCATATGAAAATTCAAGAACCGCCTCCGACTTTCACGACTGTGAAGGCGTGAAGCCACCGTGACTCCCCTCTCAACATTGACACAGTCCGGGCGTCCGGTGAGTGACGGCGACGGTGAGACGGTGAGTTCACCACGAATCTTATCTTCCTTGGCCCTTCTTCTGGCGTCTGCTTCTGCTGAGTGCTGGTTGTGCACCGGGCGTCCGGTGAGTGACGGCGACGGTGAGACGGTGAGTTCACCACGAATCTTATCTTCCTTGGCCCTTCTTCTGGCGTCTGCTTCTGCTGAGTGCTGGTTGTGCTGCCGCCTGTCGACTGCCGAGTCCGGCGAGTCACCTAACTGTCTTCAGGCCCGGTCCTGGGCCGAGGCAAATGAGGCCTCCGCCTCAGGCCCAAGATCTTAGGGGGCCTCATTTTCGCCTCTTTTTTTTTTTTTTTTTTTTTATCCATCCGGCCCAAATGAAATGCCCAATCCAATAACTAAACCCATCCCAACCCAACAATACATAAATCCCAACCCATCAATCCATTTATCCAAATCAAATCCAATCCAATCCCTAAATTCCCAAAATAATTCATATGAAAATTCAAGAACCGCCTCCGACTTTCACGACTGTGAAGGCGTGAAGCCACCGTGACTCCCCTCTCAACATTGACACAGTCCGGGCGTCCGGTGAGTGACGGCGACGGTGAGACGGTGAGTTCACCACGAATCTTATCTTCCTTGGCCCTTCTTCTGGCGTCTGCTTCTGCTGAGTGCTGGTTGTGCTGCCGCCTGTCGACTGCCGAGTCCGGCGAGTCACCTAACTGTCTTTCGACCGAAGCAATATCGATGGCATAACTGGATTTAGTAAAGACGATTCGGAATCAGTTTCCAGCTTCATGACATATGCAGTTGGTTTGGCAAAATCTGGTGTTAGCTCGGTAACTACCTAATGCTTTCTGGATGCCTTTGTATCATTAAATACATTCTACTTTGGTGCCGTATTTGAAATGAATTTATCTCCTTTTCACATTTATTGCTTGAAATTCCATTAGAGTTGTAATTTACTAGTTTCCAGATAAATTATTTAGACATGTCGAAATGGAAAAGGTATGAAATTATAAATCTGAGTGAATCTGTGAATGATAAATGAAGTGAAATTATCTTCTGTATGCCGCATTATCATTGTGCCTTTGTGAGAAATGAGATGAAATCCTAGGTAAAAGAGAGAACTTCACTTGTAATTTTTCAATGTGTTTATTCAAATGTAATGGAAGATCTAC